GTGTGAGGAAATCTCATGTCCCAGCTCCAAGCTGCTCCCCTTGCCTGCTGGCAGTGAGAATTGTTTGACCAGGCTTCAGGTCATCCAGCACCTGAGGGCAAACCTTACTGGACTGGGTTTTCTGTGTTAAACTGACCCTATGCAGGCAGCACCCCTGCTGGGGTGGGGCCACCCCAAGGCCTGGGGGGGGGGGTCCTGTGGCCTCACCACTGGTGCCCAAAGGACAGCCTGTTGGTTTGGAGGGGCTGACCCGTGCAGCTGCATGTCCTCCCCGTGACTCATATCTCTCACCAGGCTTTGTTCTCATCCTTTCCCCAAGGGGAGAAGAAAGTGCAGAGAGGTCTTGCTTTTACTGTTGTTTTGCTCAGTTCAACTTGAACAAAAAACTTGCAGGTTTTGCTGTGGCTCTGGGTGGAGGGAGGCAGCACAGCACAGCACAGCATGCCCTGCTCTCTGGGGGGCAGGGGGAAGTTTGAGGGGTGCCTGGAGTGGAGAGGAGCTAATTTCCTAGTGCAGGCAGACAGGCAGAGAGGGTTGTTGGGCACTGCTTTGTGCTGGAGAGGCACAGCCCTTCCCACATGCTTCCGCCACGTAAATAACAAGAATTGCAGTACAGAAGGAGGGAGAATCATCCATTGATCTTTGCATTCCAGCACTTGGGAAGGCAAAGCTGATGTGTGACAAGGTGTTGCCAGATCTGGGGCTCTTGGGGTGTGGGGTTGAGTGGTTTGGGGCTGAGTGGTTTGGGGCTGCCCTGACCTGCCCTCCATGCTTGGCTAGGGCTGCTCAGAGGTCCCAGCTCTGCAGGATCCCTGTGTCCTTACTGCAGCTCCTTGGGACATGTGTTCAGCTCCCTGCTGAATTCTGTCTTAAAATATAAAAGCACCATCCCTTATTTTCACTGTGTGCTGAGGGAGTTGGTCCTTTTCATCCTGCAGGAGCTTGGGCAAGGTGGGCAGAGCAGGCACCACCAGGGTGGGGGCTGCCTCTCTTCAGGAGCCAGCAGCTGGATTCAGGTGTGTGCAAACCTCTGCTCCTCCACAGGCTGCAAATCCTGGCTGTCCTTGAGAGGAGATGGTGGGGCTCCTGGAGGAGGGTGGTGGAGGTGGTGGCAGAGGGGCCTCTGCAGGTGAGCTGGGGCTGGTGGTCGTGCTGGGAGCTGGGACTGGCCCCCAGGCTGCAGCCCCTCCACTGCTGCAGGGCTGGCTGTGGAGGCAGGCTCAGGATGCCTCCACCAAACCTTGCTGCTGCTGGTCACCACAGGGACCAGCACGGTCTCAGAGGCTGAACTTACTAGATAGTGTCCAGAGGAGGCCTAGGTTGGTGAAAGGTTTAGAGGGGAAGCCATATGAGGAGCAGCTGAAGGCACTTGGTCTGTTCAGCTGGAGAAGAGGAGACTGAGGGGAGACCTCATGGCAGGTCCTGCTTTCCCCTTAGGGGAAAGGG